GTTAAGTTCGCTCTATAAAACAGGGTATTTCTTGCATTCTCAATCAAAATCTCAGATTGGCAAGAGCCATGATAATGATGTGTTACGATGATAGTTGACATAGTCACCAATTAGTATCGTCAACCTTGTCTATGACCTCCCTGCTATCCCAAAAATTCATATATATTCTGAAAGTTCGTCAAAAACTGCATCGTTTGGTATATTTTTAAGAAGGAAAAAAAAACTTGCAAGAGCTTCTATGGATCAAACTAACTTGACTATCTGAATTCATCTTATAGCTCTTCTATTTTTGCTCAAACTAAAATATGATGATATCTTCGCGCTCACCATGAAAACCTGCGTCGGATAGAGTTATACTAAAATCCCTTCGAAGATCTTATGGACAGTTTTAATCTGCATGTTCCATAATGGCCCTTCTAGGTCATACAATCCACTTCTCATGTCGATTTTTAATACCCATGAGAGAGATGTTTTGCAAACCTGAATCTGAAATTCAGTAGAACTCGTCAAGGACTACAAGATGAACTATGTGAATTTAATTCATCAAGTGCACATAAAGACTGCACAGATTCTGGTCTCTGTGTCACAAATAAGATTTTATTTTTTTCTCCAGCGAAAAAAAGTTTAGAAACAAATAAAATACGCTCGTGTTTATCATCTTCTCGTCAATATACCAAGCAACAATTCTATTCCTAAGAGGTATTGCATGTAAGCCACGACCATTTACTGACAACATTGCTCAATCGGTATCACCGATTTGGCTGATATTTTCACAGTAGGTAGGCATAACGTAGTTAGGAAGAAACCCAAAATTTCAGCTCAAACGAATGAGCCATTCTGGAGATGTATGCGATACAAGTATGAGAGGGGTGGGTCCCATTTGGAGCACCTTACAATGCAATACTTTCCAGTAAAATTTCATTTTCTAAAGAACGATAAGAGTTATAACAGAGACTTTTTTATCATAAATACTGTCCATGATTGGCTATCTTTTCATGGTATTGAAAGTATCTTATCCTCTTATATTTATGGAATATTACTATATACCATTCCCAGAAGGCATGGTTCCATAGATGAGGCAAGTTGGTCACATCAGCGTGATAGACCAACTCGAAAGTAGTTTCATTTCAAAGAACGCATCGATCTGCATCGAATGGTGTTTTCAAAAGTTTGTGGCATTGAATTTTGATAGGGGAAGTTTTTCTGAACAAGACTATGAAGGTCAAATTTGGGCCCCGGCTCTCCCTATGAAGATTGACGATTTATTTTCAAATGCTTGATTTAAGTGTTTCAGATGAAAGCGCATGTCGAAAAAACACTAAACTCAATATTTCGGCTTACTTGAATGTGTCAGCGAAAGATGGTGAAGGAGTTACTTTTTAAAGTTTTACAGAGTATTATATATAGTCCGTCTAATCTTTCTAATGGTCGTACTTCACTTAAACTGAAACGAAAAGATCTGACATTTTCATCATAAACTATTCTTATCGAGTTCTTAATATACACAAAGTTTCAGGTCAAGATTCGAATTTATATTTTTTTCATGATCCTGAGAAGGGGGCACGGTAATTTCCTATAGGTCCTATAGGGAATTTGAAAAAAATGAAAATTCGAATCTTGACCTGAAACTTTGTATATATTAAGAACTCGATAAGAATAGTTTATGATGAAAATGTCAGATCTTTTGGTTGCACTTTAACTAAAGTTCGATCATTAGAAAGATTAGACGGACTATATATATTACCCTATAAAATTTTAAAAAGCATCTCCTTCACCTCACACCACTCTATACAATCAAGGCAAACCTGTTTAAGATGGCAAACAATAAGAATCTTGTAAGAACATAGACAATACAGTGAGCAGATATGTTTATATATACAAGGAAAGAGAAAAAGATGACCACTCGACTGAAGAACAGAAAAAGAAGAAAGAAAACAAAAAATAGCTGATATATGCAAGCATACGAGAAGTCACAGTCATTTATACTATTTGTATCACTCCTAATGATGATCGTCTTGAAAGAAACAAATTTGTTTTCATGCTATCAAGATCATCATTGTTTCAACATGTCACTTTTCTTTTTTCTGCACTTATTTTTCTCCTCTCTCATATGTTCTATTCTCTACGTCTAGCAATACATGCCTCATATTTGAATGATCAAAAAAGTGAGAACAGCAAAAGAAGCATTAAAAGCATTATTTCAATCTGATCTAATAGAGTTGTGACAGACAAATAGCGATTTTTTCTTATTCACATTATATATCGTGTGTACAAACGTTATATAACGTTCGTACACACTAGAGCAGTAGCAAATAAGAAGATATCTCTTTTCGCACATGCATATCTTTCTGTTCTCTTTCTTTTCTATCGACGCGCTGAGACAGAAAACGTCCGCACATGGGATATTTTATGTAGAATGAGATATCTTCTTATCTGCTAGTGCTCTCTCTATATATATAACACGAATAAGAAAAGAAAAGAAGATTTCGAGTATTTGCAACTCTAATAAGAAATAAAACAATTGTACCACGATCAACAAATTTCCAGATACAGGTAAGAACTGTCTTTAGAAAGATTTCATGCTTATTTTAAAAAGGACATGTCTCCAAAAGGTTATTTTCTTTGTCCATAATTTCTTGTGATTTTTTTCAATTGAAAATATGTCGAGGAGTTATTAGGAGCATTTTCCAACAGTTAAAATTGGAAAAAAACTATGTTATGATGCTGAAAAGTGCACATTACTGATCGATGGATTTCAGAATATCATTCTTTCTTCACATGAAAACATTAGATTTTATTCTCTAAAACATATCAATGTCACCAAAAATATTTCCTTTATTCATTTCAAGTCAATTGAGTTCGAAAAACATCGATGCGTTACTATAAAATTGGAAATAATCGAAAATGTTTTTAAAAATGGATGATCCAACTTTTTGTCAGATTTTTTACTACTGTAAGACGATCTGGTGTCGAGAAATCATATATAGGGATCCTCCAGAAAATCGAATGTAAAATTCCAAAAATTCTGGACTTTTAGACAATACCATCGTGTTCAGCACATCTCACAACCGAACTTTTCATAATTTTTTCTCGATTCTATTACAAGATATTGAAATTTCTTCTACTCAACGAAATAGTTGACTATCTCGTAAATCCATTTGAAAACAGTATCGAACTCCTGATGCATTCCTAATCGAAGGAATTGCAGAAGATCTAAACTGTACATTCATTGACCAGTATGCTTGAATAGAAATAATGATAAATAATTCATTGTAGTCAACATCGAATATTGATAGAGTTGATAAATGATCTATTATCACACTAGTTTAGATTAAGGGATGTTGTGGAAGACAGTTGACTCCAAGTATTCGATTATATAATTACTTTAAAATCAAATACTTAATTAGAAAAACAGAAGAGTAGACAAAACGACTAAAACAATTTCAAATACTTTCTCATAACTGATAACTTATCTAATAATCGACTCCTTTCATTTACACAAGGAACAAATAATAAGTAGCTATATACTGTTCCTAACAATATAATTCATACTTTTTGACCTGTTCTTTCTGTATTGTTTCATTCTCTTTCCAATTTCTATGAACGATGGATATAAAGAGTGTGGGTGTGGATATAATGAGAAACACCCTTCCGCACACCCACACCCACCTAACTATCTATGTAGAAAACAGTACAAGAAAAAAAGCTCTTGCAATGTCCATCCCTTTTAAACGTAGCTCCTTTATCAGACATGTTTTTCCCTTATGAGAAAGGACGCTTAAAGTTGTATGATTATAAAGGTCCGAAGCGTTTTTATCGATCTTTTGAATAGAGCACGTCCACTTTTCAATCAGAACTTCACACATGTTTGATCAGTTTAAACAAAACAGTTGATAAAACTTAATTATTAGTTTTCCAATACTAAACAATTTTCGTCTTTTCTTTTAAAACACATTTTGTGAAACAGTATCCAACTCTCTACAACAAAGTAACATTAGTTTTATTCTTTGCTAACATATCTTAAGGCCTGAATAACGAAAGGATAAGTTGTGATAAGATAATTTTTAATTCCACACTTTTTTAAGAAAAAAACTATATGGCTGTAATCAGCGTCGAAAACTGAGCTAAATGGCCGTTTCAATTTTCTCGAAATCTGACTTTCAATTTTTTTCAAAAACTTTAATGGCAAAGGAGGAATCTTAGGAGCATCGAAAATGGTCGAGAGCCACATCTCTAGAATAAGAATTCGATACTGAGTCCAAATCTCATTTTACTTTTGCTTAATAGGGTCAAGGAACAGAAAAAATTGATGAGTTTCGATAAGAGGCTTGCTTTTTTTGACATCTTTCAATTTCCAAGCCATGTCAAACAGACCCAAAAATAGCCATTTTTAGGCGCACACTCCATCAAAACTCAACAAAAATAGCAAAACATTTGCTTTTCTGACTTTTGAGCGCTTTTTTTTGTACCATAACTCCCGGTTAATCTAATGAGAGAGATATTCAGATCAATGTAGGTTTTAACGCTCTTTCTAAATATGTCTTTAAACTTTAAAAAAGTTAAAGAACATGGTCAAAAACCTAAAAGACTGATATTGAGATAGTTTTTCACTCAAAGTCAATTCCAAAAATTTCCTTGCCTATGATTTTCATTCCTCAGAAGATGCTCTTTCTGATAAAAATGAAATTTACTTTCTTCGATGTTCCTGAGCGGAGAACATCATGACTGAAGATTTCGGCAATTAATACTTTTTCATCGCACGTTATTATATTTATGTCATAACAATTGATACGACAATTTAATTCTATTAGATAGTATTCACTAGAAAATCTACTACTGATTATTGAGATAAAAGTAGAATTTCACTTGTTCTCAACCTTCCTTTCTTCGAATAGGGCTATATGTTGACATTTTAGACAATTTAAAAGTTTATATAAAATGTCGATCTTTTTTAAAAATCTTATGTACTATCAGCAGATAGTCAGATATTTATTTTAGTCATGGCAACAACATTACAAGATTTATCTACAGATGAAAAATCAATATTAGATAAAATTAATCAATTAGCTGATCAAGTTGATCCATTATCAACTAAAATTCAACTTTCTGACACAACAAATTTATATGATGAACTTTTACGATGGAAAACTGAAGCTTATCGTATTATTGATCAAGTTTATGAACAAAAACGAATTCATCTTCAAACAATCATAGAAGAACATAAATCAAAACAAGCAAAAACAATATCTGATACAAAAGATGTACTTCTTCAATTACAAATGAAAGGTCATGCAACGCGTGAAGAACTTGAACAACTAGAACAAACATTGAACAATGTTCAGAAGACTATCGATAAATTCATTGTAATTAAAACAAAATCTTTAGATACCAATAATAGCGTAATAGTAGAATTAAATGATGATTGTAAATCACCTAATTTAACTCAATCACGACCAACACAGGAATTTACCTTCAGTCATTTGAATGAAGACGACTTCAAGAGCGATGGACTACGATCGTATGCGAAATATCGTAATCTTGGAATCGCCAAAGCAACTAATGGCATGGTTTTGGCTCATGTTATCCGCTTTATTCCACCGTTTCGTCCTGAGGAGGTATCGAAGTTGCATTATCATGAAGTCGATTTCCAGATGGTCTACGTGCTCAAAGGTTGGGTAAAGTCAAAACTTGAAGGACAGGGAACAATTACTATGTCGACAGGTTCCTGTTGGATCCAACCTCCATGCATTAAACATGCTGTTGTCGGTTATTCCGATGATTGTGAGTTGCTCGAAATAGTTCTGCCAGCGGACTTCAAAACAATCATGCTCGAGTAGCTGTACATTGACGACACCTACTATCCTCCGATATGATTTTAATATTTGTATAAATTGATCATTTGGTAATTTTGTTTTCTATTGTAGTTTGTTTTTATTATTAAATAAATAGTTGTGATTGTAACTATGGCATGAATAAGTGTGGTTGTCTACTTATTTCTCTCGAAACAACAGTCAGATGACTAATAAACTAGGAAATCAAGTTCCTTTCGGCTTCTAACACGTTTCTGATTTGAAGTAAACAACTGTTTTTGAAAAATGATTAGGTAAAAGAAAATATTGCTAAAAAATATAAAGAATCAATAGGTTATAACTTATATCTGGTTACACCAAATTACTAGAACATTAAATTGGTTTCCATTAGAATAAGCAGTCATGATCGGTTTCGACCTTGCTGAAGGGTCTCATTAGATGGCTTAATAGACTAGGTCAAGCTGTTTTCGTTTTCATTCAAAGACTTCCTTTAAACTCTATAGAGCAGTGTATTTGATTCATCAACTAGAATTATTTGTAGCATTCGACACACATAAAAAAAATTGATAAAAGCGAGTGCATCATGTAAAATATCCTTTTCGTAAACATTTTCACAATATGTTTTGAGTATTTCATTCTATTATTATCTCGCCAAAGAGTAGCGAACATATATATATAGTTTACAGCAGTTCATCAAGAGAAACCTGACTCATAAATAATTGATTCAAAGCAAAGCCCGAAATGAACCGGAGTTTTCGGATTCGGGTTCGGTTCAGTTCAAATCGTATCTATTCGAAAAATCTTATAATTATGCTGAACGAGTACAATAGAACCGTAGCTTCTAGTGACCCTACTGCCTATCAAGTGATGTTTTTGCTCTGAAAGAATAAGAAAACTTGCGCATTAATTTGAAGGTTTTTTTTCTAACTTTACTCTTTTTCTCTTGCTTAGTGTAAGAAAAAATAGACAAGCCAAATAGTAGGAAAACACAAAACATTAATATTATAGAACTGGAGCCAAGAGAAAAGCACGAAATGATGGAAAATAACATAGCAAAGCAAACACTTTCTGTGCGCAATTACATATTTTTTTTTATTATTTTCCATGGAACGAAGAAAAAGAATGTCATTGATCGTTCTGGGATCGAGACTGCAGCACAATGAATAAAAACTCGTTTCAGTCTTCACCAGCTCAACATACTCTAAGTAAAATCTATTGTATAATGAGAACGATTACTTTTGCTTAGGTTCGGCTCGACTCAAGTTTTAAAAAATCGGTTTGGTTCGTTTTCGGGCTCTGATCCAAAGTATCAGTAACAGTTAGAACAGTCTTCTGATAAGGTCGTGATGAGATTAAACAATTAACACAAGCTATAAAAATAGTCAAAAAATAATAATAATATTTTATATTGGTACTCAATTTCACATCAGCGCGATCTCTCCTGAGGAAAAAAAGATGTTAAAAACAACAGATGTTATTCTATACAACATTCGTTAGTTTTAGGTCTGAGGAAAATTCAAATATTTTTAGCTAAGTTTCATTAGAGTACATTCTAAATCACAGTTTTATTGTTTATCTAAAATATCTGACATAGCACTAGAGATATCCAGAGAATATACAGAAACAAATATGCAGCAAGGAATTAGATGAAAGGAAAAGACGATAAAAGAAAGACTGAGTCAGGAATAAACATGGTAAAATGACATTAAAATGTCTTCAAATTGACACAATTATAACGATGCGAAATAGTCCAAAATAATACCAAAAAATGGTTTGTGTTATAGACAGTATATTGTCACATCTTAAACCATCATCACCTAGTCAAAAATAATCCTTTTAGTGCATTACATGACGCGCACATTTTTTGGCATATTTTGTGACCGTTTCGCATCATTATAATTATGTAAATTTTAAGGCATTTTACCATGCTGATCCGTATCTGGGAGGTAATGAAGAAAAACGCCATGCATCTTTAAATTATATGTTGTTTAGCATTTTCATATTCGAAATTATATATGATCACTATGGAAATGCAACAAAGTTGTCAGTTATCTTTTCAATTTCTCTTATACTAGCATCGTAATTGAAAATTATATCTGAGCACGGCTTGCTATGTTTCAAGATGTATGGCATCGTATAAGATTTCCCTTTGTCAAATAATAGTGCATTAATCAATATTTCATTCTGACATTCATAACACAGTCGAGATTCTCGAGCAAGCAGGTAACTAGGGTGTGGGTGTGGGTGTGGGTGTGGGTGTGGGTGTGGGTATGGGTGTGGATGTAGGTATGGGTGTGGGTGTTCTTCTGTTCTTCAACAACACACCTACACCCACACCCACCCCACATCCACCCGTACTCCCGCATCCACATGCACACGCACATCCCACACCCATACCGACCCACACCCACACCCACATCTACATCCACACCTACACTCACACCGACACCCACACCCTTTTGTTGCTAATGGACAAAATCGACTATACCCATTCATAAGCAAAGCACATGGCACCATGTTGTTTCTTTCTCGATATGACGACAGAATTTCAACTGGATATTGGTTTTTTAAAAAACAACAAAGTGTTCAATGATGATCTTAGTCATTCTAACGGATAATCTAACTTAATCATGATGAGTAAGAGAAAGTTTCTTCTTCAGATTTCTCCATCTAATCTTGTTTCTCTTCATCTTAATCGATAAAGAGGTGAATATTTTTGTCCATATCTCATTTGAAATCATCTCGAATTATTAGAACAAGAATTCGATAAATAGTAAACAAGTTATGAATCCAACCGCACTCGATTTTCGATCGAAGATCGACTCTATTATCACATTTAATCGAACATTGACGTTAATTTCTTTTCTATAATCAACAATAACATTGATTATTAATGAAAACAATTGTTTATCTCGAATCCATGTTCGGTGAGTGTTGCATTAGCATGAATATCAACATAGGATAGAAAAGAAAATCCAAATTCAAATAATACATCAAATAAATCGAACATATGTTCATAATGATCGTTTTCATACAAACAGATCTTTCCTATTCAAATGAATCCTTCGACCTATTTGATTATTTGACTTCGAAAAACGAAAGAATTGGAGATGGATCGAACAAAAAGAATCATTTTTCTTCAATTGACCAAGATTAAATGAACAGCAGAATCACTGAATGAAACGAAGAATGAAGATGTGCATGAGTGAATCACTGAATCACACTTAATTGCAATTGGAAACATTGGTCATTTCGACTATTGATCAGAAATGTTCTTCGTGACATGTCTCGATCCGAATTTGATCAATCTGAAATCGATTCAGAGCGAAGATAATCAAACACGGATCTTTCTCGTCGTCGAATTCTCTGCAGAAGTCGATTTACCATATACAAATTGAAAATGGAAATGAACGAAAATCGAAGTATCTTCTATGATCTTATTTTATTTTGATTCTTTGACGTTTAAATCAGTGGAGTTCGAGTCAAAAGGAATTATTCGCATTTGAAAGGATTTTTCTCTTCGTTTGTCGTGTGATAAATTATCTCAATGAAATCAACAAATGATTTCTTTCTACAAAGTCTTTCGTTCGTCTGGTGTTTTATCTAATGATAAACAAAATTATTCATTCTTTATCGACATGTTTCAGCCGAAACGACAGAGAAGGAAAGAGACTCCATTGTTAACGAATATATTGAAAAGAAAATGTCGTTCAATTGAAAGAAGACGATTGGATGCTTAGAAATGACAATTGCAATGAATGTATTGGGCAGTGATTGTTACTTCACATACGGTCATCTTATGCTGCATATGCATTGCATGTGTATATTCTGACCCTGCAGAAAAAACATGATGAAACAATAAATAAACTCGAGACCATTGTGTTTAACATTGAAAGGTTATTATAGAACAACTTAGTTGACATAATACCAACAATAAAATACCGTGAAAATGTCTGGAACATGTCATTCGGATTTATACATTAGTTACTCTTTCTTGAAATGTTTTCTACACTATGCACTTTCGATCTGTATATAATTCAATATAATTTCATACAAAAGTTTCGTATAACCTAAATCGACGTCTTATGCGTCCCTAACCTTTGTTCTGTCTATGTGCGTGTATACAGTTGATTTTATTCTCATTTGTGGTATTTCAAGGTTAACTTGGTAAAGATGCAATCAAACAAGAAAAATAACTTCGTTGTCTAGTTATTTCTTCTTCGAAAAAAAAAGAAACAAATATTACATGAAAATCAAGACAACGAAGAAGTTTTAGATCAGTGAAGCAACTTCAGCTTAGTTATCATAGATTATTTACAGTGATAAATTTTAATGATGACAGTTGAAATTAATTTTTTACGAAAATATTCAATGGATACCTCATTGAATGAAGTTTTTTATCAGCTTAACGAGTAATTATCTCATTTACTTGATAATTCTCATACGCACTTTACTGAAAGAATAAACAATCAACTCTGACGATCGATTGATCGATCAGATTGAGACAAGCAGAAAAAATTGACAGATAACGCTGATATCATTCAATGTATAAAGAAGGAAATGTTGTATGAAGATCAGCAACATTGCCAACTAAGAAGAGATGAACAAAAACAAGTAGATTATTGGTCTTTTGGTCGTATGGCTACAGCAATTAGTATAGTTATGACCGAAGTATTAATTGTTGCAAGTTTTATATATTTAAATCATTAGTTCTCTTTTAAAGTATTCAGTGCATACAATTTTTTTCATAAACAAAAGAGTTTGTTATGTATATTATGAATTATGAAACAGTAAGTTTAAACATTGAAGAACACGCGGCTACACTAACAGATCATCCTCATATGAAAAACAATCAGATTATCATCGTAAAGATAAAATAATCAATATAATGAAAACATCACTAATATAGATAAATAACAATATATTTTTTTACATGAACTTTTTTGATAAATCCAATTCAATATCAAAATATTCTACAGAGAATATTCACATAAGAGACATAACGAGTTTTTGAAATCATCAACCAC